AATCCAGCCGAGAATCCGGCCAGTTTCTGGCAGGATACAAGGCCGGATATGCAGGGGAAAAAAGAAAAAAATTTGGTTTTGGCTTCGGGTGGCAATCCGGCCGAAGCAATCCGGCCAACTTCCGGCCGGATTTCCGGCCGGATTGACAGGGGAATTTCGACCCCTTTGGGGTCTAGCCTCGGCCTCCTATCCGGCCGAGAATCCGGCCGGATAGTGACGTGGCCGGTTACAGTTCATCCGCGGCAAATTTTCGTTTTTCGTTTTCTTGTCCGATTGAAGTGCTCGAGCGCTATACTTTCTTGCATAATGATATTATGGTTATAGGAACAAGTTAATGGGTTAAATCGTTCACTTTGTTGAATTTTCCTTTATAAACTAAACGAAATTCGACTTGTTTGAGACCCGTAGTCCTGGCGAGAGCTGGGCAGGCGGTCCGTCGACCCCTCTGGTTCGCCTTAGGGGAAGATGGGGTCGTAACAACTTTACTTACAATCATGCATTTACCAAGAAAAGATGCACACTCAATTAGACTAAATCAAAGTCATAAAAGAGAGCTTAAATTCTCTCAACTCGAGGTTTAAGAGTGAAGTTTTAATGTCCGAAGAGATAATAGTATCTTCCATGAAATCGAGTTCAAAATGTTCAATCTATATCGAGAAAAGAAGTCAAGGTCCCAAAATTGCATTTTCTATGAAATTGGCAAAATTCAGATTTGTGTGTCAAACTTAGAAAAATCATATCTTGCACTCAAGTAGGTCCAAATATGGAAAACTTGGAACCGTTGGAAACTACTTCCAAAGTACTAAAAGTTCCTAGAAGGCACTTTTCCATGATTCAAAACGGAAGACACTCAAATTCCTGCTTAAAGTTGCTGACTTGCACTTCTAACACAGATTCGGGCACTACTACAAAAATGACCTTTAGTCACACACTTAATATGACATTTTCCTAAAAGTGTCACAACAGAAAGTTAACGTAACATGCAGTAGGGAACGTCATTAAAGTGACAAAGAAAATGACGAGTACAACGTCGTATCACTCTAACTTGTCCAAATAGAAGTAAAAAGTGAAAAACAAAAGCGGGAAAGAGAATGACGCTACACTTCAGCGCCATATTTTTTGGGGAAAATTTCTAACTATTCCAATGAATCCAATGAACTTTACTCTTTGTTCATCCTAGTTCTCTCTCCTAAAACCTTCAATCACGTTAACTCTCTCTGTAAAAAGCCAAAATTCTTCACCCCTTTGACAACCGAATCCCTTGTTTCTTTCTCTTTCTTCCACCCGATTTTTAATTCTCCCCAATTTGAAGACAAACATGTGAAGGACTTGTTCTCCTACTTACAACAACATCTGAAGGAAGATTACTACCAGGTAACCTATACATTTTAGACAAAATTGATAGCCTTTTTTTATTACTTTATTTCTTCTCTGGGGACTGTGTGGGAAATGGGGCAGGAGAAAGGTGGGTGACGGAGGGGGTGCTGAGGCAGTGCTAGAAGGACATGGGCGTGGTTGAAGTGCCCATGTTTTTATTCATAAGAGATGGAGAAATTTGTGGGAGATAAGTGGGATCTGGCAAAGGAGAACTAATCGGTGAAATTCGTAGATACCAAGGAGTTCGAGTGACTTAGGTCAAAAGAACAAACTGGAAGATTCACCAGTAAATTACACAATTCAATTGGCTGTGTGAAACTTTGTAACATAAAAGCAAAAGGGATATAGCTTATTTATTTATTTATTTTTCTGTATGTATAACTGTGGCCCTTACTCTAGTTACTTATTTCATGTGTTAATCAAGCTTTAATTTTATCACGCCACAATTCTGTTTTAAGACCGAAAATCATATTTTTATTTCTCCTTTTGGTTCTCCATCGGAACTAGAATCGACAGCTTTCATTTGGAGTCGATATGCCATAAAACTGAAGCTTTATTTACTCAATTGCAATTCTGATAGGAAATCCTACACAGGATTAATAGCAAGCAACTAATCACTAAAATCGAAAATCCCTTAAATATTCCATTTGCTAAGATGAGGAAAAAAGGGGGCTAAGGTTATTTGCTAGGTATTCCATTTGCAAGCTTCTTGAGAATTTTTTGGTTGACATGTATGTTAAATATGTGCTGATTCTACAACGCTTTCTCATTTGGTAATTTGCTAAATGCTAATAAAGACTATAAGTGTGACTAGTGGATTTGCCTGGAAACATAGTAGTTATTTGGTTTTTAGCGATTGTCGATACTAATATTGATATCTTTGTTTTAGATTGAAGAATTATTGTTGAAGTGTCAACCTAGTTTTTGACTTGTTAACATTTGCATTATTGGTATTGAACTTGATATAGAATGCTCTGCCCGTAGGATTCTAATGCAAAGTGCATCTTACATACATAGCATATATCAAGTGGTGACTAAGTCAAGCTTATTCCATCAATGCAGTTTTAAATTTGTAGCGGCCATCATCTTCGATTCCATCTAGCGAGCATTGATCGTTGATTCCCTTTCCACTTGGAGTAAATTGGAGTTGTTGGTAACCAAAATTATACATTAAGTTTCTGCTACTCTTAGGTTACCAATACATTAAAGTTCGTGGCAGTTATTTTCAATTGGATAGAACTTCTATTGCTGATTAGTTGGGTTGCTAATATTTTGTCCAAGTTCTCTATCTCAAATTGATATTGGCTACATTATTGGACTAATTTTGAATTCAGTAGACTATTATTCTTTGTGCCTACCATCTGTTCGATAGTTTGTGTCTTACAATTTGGAATTGAACTTTTGCTGTCTTTCTTTTTTATATCATTCTGTTTTGATACTTTTGGATTAGTTCTTATTACTCAAAAGTCTAGAACACCTGGATATGTGAATATTCTGTTTTGATATGTCTAGAACACTTGGATTAGTTCTTACATTCTGTTTTGATACTTGGATTAGTTTTCTTATCTAAGTAAATGTTTGATGCAAAAATCAGTAATATTTTAGGTAGAATTATCTTGTAGATGCTAATGAAGCTTTCTTTTTTTTTTTATAATTAAAATCTATGTGAACATGGATAAAAGATGGATGAGTATGTCACGATCAAGTGATGAGTATAAAGCTGGTTTAGAAGATTTTCTTGATTTTGCATTTACGAATGGAAGTATAGGGGAGATGATTTGATGCCCATGCATTAGGTGTGGGAATGGGGTATTTGTCACGAGAGAGCAGGCCAAATCACACTTGATATGGAAAGGGTTTATTAAGGGATATACTCAATGGTTAGCTCATGGAGAGCTATCTTCGAATTTGCATCATACATCTTCACATGGCTTGCCTCTAGCTTGTACCATGCTTCGAGAGGAAAACTAAGGAAATATCTGAGATGGGCTGACTACACAATGATAGCCACAACAACAGTGGTATGCCATGAATGAATAGTTGTCTTTGGATGTACGCATTATATTTGCTAGAGTTCCGTAAGTTGAATCAAGTAGAATAAATTGTTGTTCAGCCTTCAGTATCAATACTTCCATCTAAGAAAATTTTCTTGGCATAGAAACATAGTGGACAAGTACATGCAAATTGTGGCAGATTGGTTTTCTAATCCATCAGAAAGTAATAAGTGGATGTTTTGAAACCTTTGGAGTGTCCTTGGATATTTTCTATGTGCCATTGCCTTTGTTAGGGGCATCAAAAATTCTGACAGACTAATTTTTTGACATTCACAGCATCCCTCAGTTATTCCTCCCCTTAAGTTACATGCCTTTAAATGTTTTCTGTCTTTTTTTCTTTAATTTTAAGAATTACTGGCTTGCAACAGCATCAACATGACCATTTCTTCTACTTATTGTAATTTATCCTTTTGATTGAGTATATCTGCTCAGCCTGTCTATGTCTCCAGTTTTAAAAAGTTAACTTTCTAAATATGCATCTCTGGATGTCTGTGAATTCAGAACATGTATGCTCTAATTTATCCTGGATTTTCATCTCTTATTTTTGTACAATAATACCTTGCTGAATGTCTTAACATATAATGACAAGCTTGTATCTTGCAATGATGACTTGACTGAGTAGGGGTGATAACAGAAATTATCAGATTACGTAATATGTAACAATGACTTTCTTGTGTGTCTATTTGAAAAATAAGCTTTTGACTCAGGTATTCTACACTTGTCTAGCAGCTAAATAGGGTGAGCAACTTGCTTCACAAAGAGAAAGAGAAAGATATTAAAAACTGAAAAAAAAATATAATCATCGATTTCATGGACCTTTGCCATTTTGCTGATAAGTTACTCAAAGGAAAAGAGAACTCTTGTGCTTAGATATGTCCACTCATACAGCATATTGGTTTAATGTTCCTCACTATCCATTGTTTGATTTGTTGCTTTTCACTTTATGTCTAGCATGAGGAACAGAGGAAATGGAAAGATTAGGATATTCTTGTTGTATAAACAGTAGCGTTCAATTGCAGTTTGTATTTTTTCTGCTACAAGTTCAGTTAGGTTGATTCAATACCTGTAAGATTTTCTCAATACTATTTATCCCAAGCATTTTATGGATACTAGCTAACCAGTAAACCTTCATTGAATAACCTAGATCTGGATTACATTTTACTCTTTTGGTTTTCTAATGGACGTTTATTACTGATTCCTTTGTAGTGTTTGTCAAGCGCACTGCACACTAAGAACCTAAAGTTGCTCATGGCAGCCTCTGCTGTATTTCTTCCAATCCAGCCTCTGATGGTTTCTACAATGCATACTGGGATGATGGAGGTAATAGGCGTATATGCATATTTATGAGTTGAATCATAAGCCAATATGCAGTCTGTTCTAAGTCTTGTCTTTTAACTCTCTTAAGTGTAACTGAGGCCTGGGAGGCCTCAGGAATGAGCTAAAAGAGTTTAGACCCAATCCTCTCCTTTGCGGCATGCATTCTGTGTTCCAAGTCTTATTACTTGGCTGGCATAATATACATATGTAGCTTACTATTCCCAGTTAGGTATGCAAAATTGAAGTTGTAGTTCCTTGGAGTAGGGAATCCAACTGAATTCTGGTTAACATAATTATAGAGCTGGAATTAGTGGAAGCTGAAACACAGTTTACTACATAGCTTGTAGTGCTTTAATTTTCTTGGTTGTTTATGCTCATGTCCTCATCTAGCATGAGACACATTGAAGATTTGTTGCTCTTCTGGTGATAGGAGGAGAGAGGAGGCAAAGGGAATGTTGCTCGTGCCTTGGCTTGACCTAAAGTGTCTCTCACTTGTTTGAAATCTAATATTGTCCAAAGTAGGCTATTTTAGCATTTGGTCAGATTGTAATTGATTAATAGACAATATATCCATGTGCTACTGATTATTGATTCATGAATTTGTCTTTACATCATCAATGACCTCCACATCCTTTTTAGAACCCAAAATGATGAAGCCAAGTTAGCTACCCAAGTGATCTGTCAAATGTGTTTCCTAGTCCTACTATCATAATACCTGAGAAGTATAAAATATTGTCCACAATTGACCTTCCTTGGGCCTTCTCAGTTGCTGCACACGCTGTCCTGGATCCATTGAGATTCCATAGCTTGCAACATGTGAGTTTAAACCTAGTAATCTTTTTATCTTATCTTTATCATTTGTTTAACTTAGTTTTTATTTATTTTTCTAACATTAAAACTGTAAAAGAAGAGTTGTAGATGTGATTTGTAACTCCTATTTCTTGGTTTATGACACTTGTAGGTGAATCTTGAAGAAAACTAAAGGATCCTTGGGTCAAATGGCTATTTTTTGAAGACATTGTCAAGGTTTTTTTTGTTGAACTCTTGTTGAACTATTGCTTCTTTGATATGTATTGGCAATCCTACTGCAATACTCATAACTGTTGAAAAATCTCTAAATTAGCATGTAATTTGTTGACATAGCAGCTATGTAAGTTGCTTGGATGATGTACTTTTGCACCAGTTTGGCTGATTGTATTGCACTAACTACTATGAAAACGTAAATCACTTGGTTTTATTTTATAAGGTGGTACTAATAACTTTATTATTCCAAAAATTAGAATCTACATTGTGCAGGCCGGATGAAATGTAATTTCTACTTTTGGGTATAAAAATCCGGATGGTATACAAGGCTAATGCAATATGATATATTGACACTTAAAAGTGTCACCATTTCGATTTTTGCGGTTCATAATATTCAAAAAATTTCATGTTAACAAGTGTCAAAACAACCTAATCTAGTTACACCATAAAAGTGTCATAATATTTCATTCTACTTATACTGCAAATATGTCATAATATCTCATTGTACTTACATAATAGAAGCGTCAAGATAGATCCAATAGATGACAGTTAAGAGTATCACTTTAGATTCATATAACCTTAACTCTTCTCTAGTATTTCTTGTCATTTGAAAGTGTCATTAAAACGATAAATAATGACGTTTACAAATGCCAACACAACTATAAATTATGACTCGTGTAACTGTCAAAAACTTATAGTGACGCTGAAATGGACGACGTTTCTAGCAGAGCATCATTGTAGATCAAACGTCATTACATCGAGCTATAATGACGCTTTTAAATGTCATAAAAGGACATTTTTGTAGTAGTGGGGGTTGGTTTTTGGCAAATTTTGGAAATTCGGCAAAATTCACAGAATACGAACTAGCCTCTCAAATTTGAAACTCAAATAGATTACAATCAAGACTTAAAACACAACAAGCGAAACTAAAATCAGAGTTTCGAGCATCAAGATAGAGCAGTCCAAAGTTGGCTAAAAATTCCTCATTGATCAAGAATTTCCAGATTTGAAACATGACTTTTGGGACTTCAGTTGGGCATTGAAATAGACTTGGAATGGCACCAAATTTGGTATGATTACACTACCACATAAGGGCTACCCTCTGTCAAATTTCATGTAAAAATTCACACGGAAGGTCAGTTAACAAAGCCACTAAAGTTCCAAGGATTTCCAAGGCAAATCTGCCTTATACTTCCGTTTTCCTTTTTCTAACTTTTGGCCAATAAAATCAACTCAAATCTGGTTCATTTATGAATAAAAAGTCTAAGAAACATCCAACATAAATTTTGTAGGTGATTAACACCAAAAGTTTCAAAATAACAAGTCCCAATTCAAAATAAGCCATTGGCTAACCCAAAATTAGGGTTTTCTTTCTCTGATGCAGTTCTGTAATTCAGCCATAACTCACTCAATTCAACTTGGAATTGGGCGTGGTTGGTGGAGTTGGAAAATAAATTCATAGGGTTACAATTTCTCAGAAGAAATCATTTTGAAATTCTGTGCATAACTAGCTCATATTTGAGCAACAAGTCACAGCACATAACAGGTTTTCTAACGCAGCAATGAAACAGGATAGGTAAATTTGAAAGGCTTGTACGGTTCATTCAAGTGGAATCAGGGGATGCATTTTATACCATTAGAAAACTGGAAGTGTCCAGTTTCAAATGCCACAAACGGCACTTGATTTCAACATCGGAGGAAAGAGTTATGATCATTTAAAGTTCGCTGCCAAAGCACCTCTGTACACGTTTTCCAGGTTTGAAGAATTTTCGAAAATGAAACTTTTACCCAACCAAATCAAGTGATTTTTTGTGGAAACTTTCCACACAACCTATATAACATATCTACATCAAAATCAAGGCCATTTGATCACAAAAAAATTGAACCAAGGCCTCTGCAACAACAGGGCAGAATCGGCTCTTTCTCTTGCATCAACCTCCCTTTGGTTTCTTTCCACTTTTTCAACTTAAATCCACTAGATTAACACTTAATCAACACAAATAACATCCAAACTCATCAAATCAGATCATCAAGTCCATCGTGGGATTTCATAGAGCCCACTCACATTATTTTCAACAATCCAAAGCTACTCACATGAAGCTACAAGCTTCTAAGTGTAATTTAACTTACAAAAGCTAAGATTTAAAGGGTGGATGATCATTGTGGCGCCCCCACTTCTCCCTAAGGTGAACCAGAGGGTATCAGCGGAACGCCTGCCCAGCTCTCGCCAGGACTCAAGCAATTTTCATTCAAGCTTAATGCAATACCAGACATCACCACTAAATAAGACAAGTTAAATAATGCGGAAGCCTTCAACTTAATGATTTATAATAATTATCCAAGCCTTACATCGAATATCCAAAGGAAACTTCAATGCCTAAAATATACAACACCAAGATACATAGAATATCCAAATCATACATTTGGTTCCCAAAAGTACAACCAGTAAGAGGTCTAGCCCAAATTACATTAGAAACCCTAAGCCAAAAGTACATCAAAAGGGGTTTCTCCAAGTCCATTCTATGTCCAGTCTAGTTAAGGAAAACAAATCTACAGGGTGGGCAAAACGCTCGTGAGGCCAAGAACACACATGCAAGCACATAGTCCAAATAACAAGTCAATTGATAAAGTACAAGTAATTGATAATTCCAATAAGATGTAAACAGAAATAATTCAAGGATATGGTAACTCTCATGAGCTAAGTTCCACTTGCTTTGCCAAGGTCATTCATATACCTTCCCGCAATGACACTCCGCCAACCGGGTTGGTATTTCCAATCCGTAGATCACCACTTACTTCCATCCATCCACCGTACATACCCCCACCGGGCCCGAACGTCATTTATAAGGCGATATTTCAATGAGTATATCAAGCAAGATCTCTCCAATAGATCAAACTTATCATGTAATTCTCATGACTCGCCAAGGTTCCCGACCAAGCCCATGCCGGTTCGAGTCCAAGGTTTGCCTATGAGTTTGGGCGTCTCCCAGTTTGTGACGCCCCGAAAAAAATGAGTTTGAGAATCCGGAAATTTTCTAATTTTCTAAGGTTTATTTTATTTAATTGCCCGCCTTTTCTACATTTTCTTGATTAGAAAAATTCCCCAGATAAAGTTTATGAGCAAAGATAGTTTTAAAATGATTTTTCTAGTATCGGTTAGTTTTTGAGAAATTAAAAGCGTATTTTGGACGTGGGACCCGCAGGTGCGGTAAATGCATTATATTTTTGACAACTTGTTGGAATTTTGTATTAAGTGATATTATTTTACAATGTGTTAAGATATTTGTATTGGAGAGACAAAAAGATAAGATGAAAGCTTAGAGGTGCCAAGTGTCACAAACCCATTGGATGTTGAATTTGACCAAGACTTTTCTAACTTTACTAAAACCAATTTGGACCCAATTTTTCTCCCATTTTTCTTGTCATGGCCGGCTGTTAAGAGGAGCAAAAACTTCATTTTCTACTCCACTTTCTAGCTTCAATCTTACTCCAATCTACCAAATCAACCATTGAATCTTGTTTTTGCTCCATAGAAAACATTAAGTGAGTATTTGTGAGGTGTTTATTGGAGTGATTTGGAAGATTTAAGTGCAAGGTTTCTCCATCTCTTTGGTTACCAAGGTGAGTGGCGAAGGATCCCTTTCCTCCCTTAATTGATGCTTAAATCATGATTGGTGGTGGTATGAGATGCAATATTATGGATTATTTCTTGATTTGTGGTTGAAGTGATGAAGTTTATTATTTTTGGAGATTTTTCTGTTTTAATATGAACATGATTGTGTGGCTATATATGATGATTAACTCTATGAGGTGGGAAAAGTGGTTAATTGCAACCAATTTCTGTTTTGGACCAAAAATTGAAAAGTGAGGGTTTTGTGACGAACATTCTGCCCGAATTTTTAGGTCCAATATAGAGGCCGAATTGGCCTTTTCTTAAAACATGAAAGTTGTAGAGAATGACATTTTAAAGGTGCCTACAAAATTTCAGGTCAATCAGAGTAGTGTGGAATGAGAAAAGTCGAAATTACTATTGCTGTTGTGGTTTACTGAAATTGGGATTTGCGACTGTAATTGGTTGTTTTGGCTGGAATTGCTTCCGAATTGGATGTTGAGGCCTTCTAATGAAATTTAACCCTGTTTCTTAGCTTTCAGCCGGTTTTGGAATTTCTAGATTTGGACTTGGAGAGCCTGAGTTATGATGTTTCCGCTAGAATGCGTTTTGGTGAATCTGTTTTTGTGATTCCGATGTAGTATCTTGCATTTTTGACCTGGTTACACTCGAAACTGGGTTGAGTGACCTTCTGTAATATTGTACCCCTATCTCTTAGCTTCGAAACGGTGGGTCTTGTACCTTCATCCGACAATCGTAGCGCCTTTGGTACCATTACCGCAAAATGACGTCAAAACTGTTTTTCGGGTTTTGAGCTTCACTTTCATTTCCGGACTTTTTCCTAGCTTGACTTGTCTTTGTACTACTTGGAGCTTGCTGAATGGCTATTGGATGAACTTGTTGTTGTGTGTGTACCTTTGGGTTGGAATGAGGAAATCATGAAGCCATGATGGCTGGAAAAGTAAGCAAATTTAGGGAAAGTGCTGTCCGAACTTTTAAAGGACTTGTTTGCATTGAGTTTGTGATCTAAGACTTGGATTTGAGCAAGGCAATGATATATGATGGATGGTTTCTGAGCCATGGAGGTGAGTGACCCTAAACTATTTCTGAAGTTATTTATGAACCGTTTCCTGCATTATTTACCTTTAAACTGTTTCCAAAGTTACTTTTGAACTGTTTTCTTGCATATCATGCGTGCTTGCATATGAATGTTCCTTGTTTGCTGTATTTCTTGACTTATTGGCTTGTTATTATTGATTTATAATGTGTTAAGTGCTTTTGATGATTGTTAAAACGAGTTTTCTAGGCGAGTGTGTTCTTTATCGCACTCGACCTAAATAAATATGAATTTTCAATGATTAATGATTAAATGCTAGTTGCGCATGAATGTAAGCCGTTTGGCTGAATTGGGCCCTGCCCTTCGTTACCGATCGACTGGAGCCAGAAGCGGACTCGGTCGGGCGATATGGTGACCCTGGGTGAATTTGGTATACTCGAGTATTACCTTGTAGTCCGGCTACGTCCGGATGGGTGGAGTCCGGCTACGTCC